ACCCTGTGGGTGCCCAGGAGTCATCTCTCCAGCCCCTTGCTGGGATGATTTTAAACAGGCAGTGCCCTGGGATTTCTCTTCTTGCTTTTCGCTTACTCTGCCCTCCCACACCATGTATACCTGTAACATTTGAAAGTAAATACCCTCAACTGTTGAAAATCATGCATTGAAGTTGGTTGCTTATAAATATGAACTTTAGATCACCATGTAGGCTGTTAAATTTTATGTTACTCATTGTTAAACTGTGTAAGGCAGACAAAAAAACTGCTGCAAATGTTACACTATTGTCCAGTGTTCTTAATATTTTTTAATATTATACTCCTCATCCATTTTTGTTTATTTTTTAATCATACTCACTGAACCAGCTTTTGACTCTTATTGATAAACTATCTTAAATGCTATTTCTCTTTCGTTAGTAAATACCTTAGGTAGTTGCTTGTTATTTCTTGGGGTTTGTTATTTTTACAGAATCTTGAATTGATAGATTTCTTGAAAATTTCCTTAAAATGTTTGCTATGAGGCCAGGTATGCCAGCACACACCTGCAATCTTAGCACTTGGGAAGTGAGAGCAGGAAGATCCAAAGTTCAAGATCAGCATGAGCTTGTTGGCTAGTTGAAGTCCTTCGCTACAGGAGGTCTGTCTCAGAACAAGCAGAGAAGTTTGGTATGAAACATTACAAACACAAAGTCACAAAGCAATACCCAGCACCTCCCACCCTCTACACTGCCTTACACTGGCCTCGGGTTCAGTGACCCTCGTCTCTTACCTCTGAGCCATCCCTCCCCAGATGCTGGGCAGGATCCTCTCCCCCACCCATGACACTATTCTTGGGTGACTTCATCACTGGGGCACCTCCAGGGCTTCCATTCACAGAGGTGAAGAAATTTCCGAGGATTTGGTACTTCTCTGAGGAACTGTGCTCCAAATGCAGCATGCTCTCTGTAGCTACATCACCCATACTTCACTGGGACAGTCCACCTGCCTCTGAGAAGATGGCTACCACAGGCCTAGGGTCGGGTGTGGAAACAACAGGTCAACTGAGAAATGCTAAAACTTTCCCCAGTTCAGTAGTTTTTTATTTTTTATTTTTTATTTTTATTTTTTTTTATTATGCCAGCTGTGGTGGTGCACACCTTTAATTCCAGCATTTGGGAGGCAGAGACAGGTAGATCTTTGAGCTTGAGGCCAGCCTGGTCTACAGATCAAGTTCCACGATAGCCAGGGCTACTTAGAGAAACAGTCCTGAAACAAAAACAAAACAAAAAGATCAAACCAAAACAAAAAGCTTATTCTATTTTTTTTAAGATTAAAAAAGTTATTTATGTGTGGGAGTTTTGCCTGCTTGTGTGTCTGTGTACCACCACATGTATGCCAGACCCACAGAGGCCAGAAAAGGGCACTGTATCCCCTGGAACTGGAGTTATGCATGGTTGTGAGCCACCATGCAGGTGCTGGGAATTGAACCCAGGTTCTCTGGAAGAGCAACCAGTGCTCTTCACAGAGGCGCCTTCTATCTCCATGTTTGTTTAAGATTTGTTTTTACTTATGTGTATGTGTGTGCCTGTGCATCTGAGTACAGGTGGCTGTGGTAAGAGGTACAGGCAATTGTGAGCTCCCTGAAGTGGGTGTTGGGTCCTCTGCAACAGTTGTGTGTGTGTGTGTGTGTGTGTGTGTGTGTGTGTGCGCTCTCTCTCTCTCTCTCTCTCTCTCTCTCTCTCTCTCTCTCTCTCTCTCTCTCTCTCGTGTGCTTTTAATTGCTGAGTCATCATTTCTCCAATGGTACTGTAAATAGAACCTGGTTGTGAATATCTCGTCTCCCTGAAAACAGTCAGGGGTCAGAATTCAGAGCCATCAATATCACACTCTACTGTAACCCTTACATACCCTCCTTGAGGATACTAACTCCCTTTTGCCAACTGTATTTTCTCTTCATGAGGAATCAAGATTACATGAAAATGAAAATAAGAACTTTGTTATTTAGTGAAAATAACTATTCAACACACAAGAGGAAAATATCTGTACATGGATCTACCTTTTTCAGAACAAAACCTACAACTTTTATTTTGTGAAAAAGCCCACTGTTTACTTTTCTGTTCTGTGGTCACTACTTTAGTGACGGAGGGACTCTGGACTCTAAGCAAACTACATCCCAACATTTATATGCAAGGGGGCTGGTTAAAATTCAAGGCCAATACTTTGATAGGTTCACTTTAAAATGTTTTCTGTATCAACTACTTAAAACTCCTTACAGTATGGGCTGGTCAGATGGCTCAGAGGGTAGGTAAAGGGGCTTGTACCAACCCTGACAACCTGCGTTTGATCCCCGATCTGAAAGGCAGGAGAACCTACTCCTAAAAGTTGTCCTCTGACCTCCACTGTCCTGGTAACTGTTTGTTTTTCAAAGCTCAACTCACAATATGATCCTCTACTTTAGAAGACACAGAGAAAGACCTTGGAGATTGGGATGGCTATTCTAGGTTGTCAATTTGACTACATCTGGAATGAACTACAATCCAGAAATGGACAGCACACCTGTGAGTTTTTTTGTTTGGGTGAAGCCACTTGTCTGGACCTCTGAGGTAGGAAGACACACAGCTTTGATCCGGATCAGAGGCAGGAAGACAACTTTAATCTGGACCACACCTTCTGCTGGAAGCTTTTGTTCTTTGCCTGCTTGTTCTTGCCTTGCTAGCACGTCCATTCCTTCACTGGCAGTGGAGCCTGCTTCTTCAGGATTTCAACATCTACTGAAGACCAATGGAGACATCCAGCCTCATGGACTGAGCAACTACTGGCTTCTTGGACTTACTGCTCACAGCTAGCCATTGGTGGATTAATTGTACTGCAGCCTGTAAGTTATTTGAATAAATTCCACACACACACACACACACACACACACACCTGACACAGAGACAAAGATTCATTCTGTAAGTTGCTGCTCTAGAGAACCCTGACAATACATAGATGAAATAGTGAACAAACCCACAGCATGCCCCCAGTCTGGCCTTGTGGACTAGAGATTGGGCTTCTGGATTATTCTGAGGTCACAGGTAGCCATCGCTGTACCAGAGCTCGCCAGCAGCCAGGGACGGTGTATTTCTAAGATGCACCTGTTCTGTCCTGTGGTGTGACTCTAGTGTCCTCACAGAAGAGACTGAGAGGGTTCCTGGACTCCCAGAAGTCAGTCAGGTAAGTTGTTTCTACTTAAAACCAGTATTTTATTTTATGTGTATGGGTGCTTTGCCTGCATGTATGTCTGTGCACATGAACGCAGTGCCCAGAGGCCAGGAGAGGGTGTCGGATCCCTTGGGACCTGAGTTACAGGTGGTTGTGAGCCACCATGTAGGTGCTAGAAATTGAAACTGTCCTCTGAAGAGCAGCTAGTGGTCTTAACTGCTGAGCCATCTCTCCATCCCCATGTTTTTTTTGTTTTGTTTTGTTTTGTTTTGTTTTGTTTTGTTTTGTTTTGTTTTTCTGAGAAAGGGTTTCTCTGAATAGCCCTGGCTGTCCTGGAACTCTCTGTAGACCAGGTTGGCCTCCAGTTCATAGAGATCCACCTGCCTCTACTTCCCGAGTGCTGTAACTAAAGGTATGTGCTACTGCTGCCTGGCCCATGTTTTGTTTTTAAGATTCATTCTTCACACTAACTGTTACACTTGGTTGAGTTTCATGAAACTGGTATAGTTGACCAAAGCGGATGGTTTTCATCTGGTTAACCCTAATGAGATCTGTACTTTGGTTCACTAAACATACACTGTCTGCACCTTCTGCTCTGTGTTGGTAGAGAGGGTGAAATGCTAACCCCATTGACCAGCTGTTACACAACTCTGAAAACTGTGTTTACAGTCTGCTAGTGAATCACAGAAAACAGAAGTGATGCAGTTTTCAAGGATTTGGTACTTCCCTGAGGAACTGCGCTCCAAATGCAGCATACTGCCTATAGTTACATCACCCATACTTCACTAGGACAGCCTGCCTGCCTCCAAAAGGATGGCCACCACAAGCCTAGGGTCAGGTGTGGAAGCAATAAGTTAACAGAAAAACCAAGGCATTTCAACTGGGAATTCTTTTTTTTTTTCTTTCCTTGTGTGTGTGTTTCGAGGCAGGGTTTTTCTCTGTGTAGTTTTGGTGCCTGTCCTGGATCTTGCTCTGGAGACCAGGCTGGCCTTGAACTCACAGACATCTGCCTGGCTCTGCCTCCCAAGTGTTGGATTAAAGGTGTGCGCCACCATCACCTGGCTCTTTCCTTTTTTTTTTTTTTTTTTTTTTGGTTTTTTGAGACAGGGTTTCTCTGTGCAGCCTTGGCTGTCCTGGAACTTGCTCTGTAGACCAGGCTGGCCTCAACCTCAGAGATCCACCTGCCTCTGCCTTCTGAGTGCTGGGATAAAAAGTGTGTGTGTGTGTGTGTGTGTGTGTGTGTGTGTGTGTGTGTGTGTACCACCACTGCCAGTTTGTCAACTGGGAATTCTGCCTCTGAGCACTCAGTCACATTCAGTACTAGACATCCCGTGGCACTTCCCTAACATCAGTGAGAGAGAGAGGAGCCCCAGGCCTTACTGTCAAGATCATTATAATTTTCACAAGATATAAAAATATAAATAACAGCAATAGTCTAAGAGTTTTAAGTTTCAGACTGGGGCGGGATCCAGGAGAAAAAGATAACACTCAGATCTTAAAGGCAAAAGGCCAACACCAAAAGCACGTTCAGTCTAGATAGAGGTCTGGGCTTCAACGATGTCGTCTGCCCCCTGTGCTTTTCGGTTACCATTACAGATCCTCCAAGTCGGTTAAATCCACGGCCACTTTCAAGAACAGGGTGTCGTCTTTGATGTAGGTGTTCTTGGAATTCTCCAGAGTGGAGTGTGACACAAAGCGGGGACAGCCCGAGGCGATGTTCATCTCGCCGTCAGGCCTTCGGAAACTGCTGCTGTTGGGGTCAGCTCTGAAGGTCTCCACAATGTGGTTCTTCTTGCCACTCTGGTCCAAAAGCATCAGGGTGACCCTCTGCCTGAACGGCCACTGTAACAGCGAGTCAAACTCACCCCTCATCACCACAAAGTACAGGGACAGGTGAGTCCCCTTCCCAGACCCATCGCCATTCAGGTACGCTCTGGCACAGAGCCGGTAGCCGCAGCGGCTGGTGTAGAAGGGCTGGCTGAAGACCGACACTGTGTGTCCCTCCATGGCCTCCCTCTTCTTCACCTTGTAATCTGTCACCTTCCAGATGAGCTTGCCACTGTAGCAGGCGCCCTCCAGCAGCTTAAATCGCTCTTCGTTCTTATTCAGCTGTGCCTTGTGGATATTAATGTGTGCGTCATGCTTGCTGGTCTCCCCCTCCAGAACAACTGAAAGGAAACAGAACAGGAAGCTGCAGCCCGGGCTTGCTAGCCAAACAGTGCCAGTGAAACGCTGGCAAAGTGGAGCTAAGCACAGCATCCGCACGGGTGCCGCACGCACGGGTGCCGCACGCATTACTAACACTAACTCAGTGGATGCCACGCCTTGACACCAAGCACACAGGGATGTGTCCTCTGACCCTGAAGCTTGCCTAAGTGTAAGACACACTGGGCATTCACCTCAAGTGAATTCTCATGCTCAGCCTTATGCTTAACTAGTGTGTGCATGGGTGTGATGAAAGTGTCTTTGCATTCGTGCATGTGTGTGTGCATGTGTGTGCATATAGAGGCCAGAGTTGATGTTGAGTGTCTTCCTCAATTGTCCTTTAGCCTTTGGGGCAGGTCTCTCACTGAACCAGTCCCTGCTGTTTCAGCGAGCTTGTCCTGGGGATCCTGTCTCAGACTCCAGGGCGCTAGGATTACAGGAGCTCTCAAGCTTACTCGGCATTCACAAGGCTCTAGGGATTCAAACTCCAGGCCATGTTTATGCAGGAAGAAATGCTTTATCCACTGAGTGATCTCCCCTGCCCCTATAATGCATTTTATACTAAAAAGCTTTATTATTATTATTATTATTGTGTGTGTGTGTGTGTGTGTGTGTGTGTGTGTGTGTGTGTGCAGGCACGTTTGTGCCATAGCATACCTGTGGAGGTCACAGGATAACTTTCAGTGGTTGGCTCTTACCCTCCACTATGTGGGCTCCAGAAGCCAAACTCTGGGTCTTGTGGTTTGAATGGGTTGTGCCCTTGGTCTCCAGTTGGTGGCTGTTTGGGGAGGATTAGAAGGGTGGCCTTGTTGGAGGAGGTGTGTCACTGGGCTTGAGGTTAGCGCTCTCTGCTTGCTGTTTGTGGATAGAAATGTGAGCTCTCAGCTGCCGCTCCAGCACATGCCTGCCTGCCTGCTGCCACGCTCCCTGTGTGCTGGTGATGGACTCTTATCCGTCTGTAAGCTGCCTCAGCCATGGTGTTTCATCACAGTGACAGAAAAGTAATTAACACACGGGTCATCTTGACTGCACAGCAGATCACCCACGGTGCCATCTCGCTGGCCCTGGTGTGCCTTTTAGTGCCAAGTGCTCTCCTGTCTACACCCAAGACAGCCAGGCATCCATTACCTCCCCCTTAACTTATTATTATCTCCCCCTGCTCTTGACAGTCATGGCTCCCTGCTCTTGGGACTGCCTGAGCTGTCTCAGGGCCTTGTCTGACGCCCCCACATCAGGGCGACCCTCGTTTTGGCCTAGGCAGCTTCACAAACAGGATTCAGCCAGTTTATCCCTGAGAGCTGGGCTGTGACCTGTTGGAGGTGTTAGCTGCTCTCCCATCATGCAGGGAAGTCAGGAGAGAAGTGGACTGCCACACACCTAATCTCTGGTCACTGGCTTCCAGCAGGCTAATCTTCTGCTTCACGCTGTCGATGGCTTCCACCAGAGCCCGCAGGTCAGATCTGTTTTGCTGCTGGTTGATGGTTTGTAGCAGCTGCCGCACCTGCGCCTCCAGCCACGCCGACTTGTCAATGTGACTGGTCAGAGTCTGGCAGTGCAAAAAGATTTGGAAATCAGATTTGGAAATTAGACAATAAATTCATCATTTGTTAAGACTGAATTTTAATGCAAATATTTCACATATTATCCACCAATGAAAAGAAAGCGACACAGTCCAGAGAGAAAATTCACCAGCCCCTGCCTTTCCCCCTCCTCGCCCATCTGAACGCTTCTGGTGAATCTTGGAGCTTTTCTTAATGTGTCTGAAGTCCCCTTCCACTTACATACGTGTTCTCTGGCTGTCACTCCTCTGGCCTTCGCACGTCCTTCCCTGAGAAGCCATTCTCCCAGCTCCCCTCTGTAAGGAAGCTGAGACGGACCAGGCCCCTGTTCTGGCCCAGGCAGAGCAGGACATGGTCTGGAAGAGGCCTACATGCTCCATGGCTCTCTCAGATGGAGGGCATTCATCTGTCTGCCTTGCCCATGCAGTCTTAATTCCACACTGCTCGTCTGTTTAGAAACATGCCAGGACTAATAGTATGATAGGCTTTTTTCTGGACATGTTCACACATGCATATATGCACACACATCTGAACATACATATGCACAGCACATACAGCACATGTAGAACATATGCATATATGTATACATATATGATGTACTGGATAAGTAGAGTTTATGTGGCCCAGATTTTCCGGAACAAAACAAATTTCAAATACATTGCCCACATTATATAATCTTAAAATTTTCCACTGCAAATCTCATAATGAGAACTTTTATCTATTAGAAATCTGCTTGTGATTATCTAACATTTGTGATCCACCAAGTGATTTTTTTTTATATTTTATTTTTAGTGAGTTTAGCATTTAACACATGCTCTTCCAAGGGTAATTAATGATTTTGCTTTCTTGTCTTCAAAATGCAGAACTATGTTCTCGATGTGTCTCAATCAGGGAAATTAATCCAACATGAATCAAAACCCTGATTTTCATACATACTATGAAAGTATGGTATAAATGTTACATGTACCAACATTGGTCAATACACTGGGTCATGAAAGCAGTGCTGTTACTATCAGAGGCCGGCCACAGCACATGCAGCATTCTTTCTGGAGATGCATGCCGCACAGCCAGGGGAGCGCAGAGTGCCAGAAACAGCGACTGGGACAAGGAGTTCCAGGGACGGGGGCTGTGCGGGTGCTGCTGGCCGCCCCTGACTCTGGCGCCCCTGACTCTGGCATCCCTGACTCTGGCACCCCTGACTCTGGCACCCCTGACTCTGGTGCCCCCTGACTCTGGCCCTGACTCTGGCGCCCCTGACTCTGGTGCCCCTGACTCGGGTGCCCCCTGACTCTTGTGCCCCTGACTCTGGCACCCCTGACTCTGGTGTCCCCTGACTCTGGCACCCATGACTCTGGCGCCCCTGACTGTGGCACCCCCTGACTGTGGCACCCCCTGACTCTGGCACCCCTGACTCTGGTACCCCCTGACTCTGGTGCCCCTGACTCTGGTGTCCCCTGACTCTGGCACCCCTGACTCTGGTGTCCCCTGACTCTGGCACCCCTGACTCTGGCACCCCCTGACTCTCGTGCCCCTGACTCTGGTGCCCCCTGACTCTGGCGCCCCCTGACTCTGGCACCCCTGACTCTGGCACCCCTGACTCTGGCGCCCCTGACTCTGGCGCCCCTGACTCTGGCGTCCCTGACTCTGGCACCCCCTGACTCTGGCACCCCTGACTCTGGTGTCCCCTGACTCTGGCACCCCTGACTCTGGTGCCCCTGACTCTGGCACCCCCTGACTCTGGCACCCCTGACTCTGGTG